ATCAGCCCTGCTCCCACAACAGAATGTGATGTGGAGGTCTACGGAGGTTGCTTGCATTTGGGAGCTACTAAAAATAAACCCAATACAGAATTCATTCATAAGTTTTTCAGAGAAAGCATGGCTCTATTCATCTTGGAGCAGGAATTACCAAAGCATAGGGTAGGTAGATTAAAATTCAGAAATAAAACTATGACCTATCCAAAATGATAGTAGCTTTTCACTTCAACCAGCAAAATACGGGGATTCTCGTCTATGTACATTCTCGCCAGCATTTCAGGCTGTTAATCTTTAACGCAGTCGTTCAAATGAATGTAAGGTGGAATTTCTTGTGGTTTTAATATGTATTTCCTTAATTACTGAAGTTTTTAACCTCTTTCATGTACTTGTTGGCCATATATCTTCTTTTGTGAAGCAGCTATTGCAGCTCTTTGTCCTTCCTCCTGCACTCACGTGACCTGCTGTGACTGACTTGTGGAGTGGCCCTGTGTGGCCTCTGAGACAAGTCATCTGTCTTGGGACCAAGCTTTGCACTGCCATGTGGTATTGCCAATATTTCCTCCCAGTCTGGAGCTTGCTTTTTCATTTTCTTAATTATATCCTTAGATGAGAAGAAGCTTTTAATTCTGAGGAAGCTGAAATTGTCAATTTATTCTTTTATGGTTATTGCTTTTTGTATCCTGCAAGAAACCTTTGCCTCCTTTAAAATTGTAATTAGTTTCTTTGGTTTTCTTCTAAGAGCTTTGTAGTTATAGATTTTATATGAAAGACCATAATCTCAATTATTTTTTGTGAAAGGCGTGAAATAAGAGTTGATTTTTTTGTCTAAATGGATATCCAATTGTTGGAGCACTGTTTGTTAAAAAGACTTTTCTCTCTCCACCTAACTGCCTTGACATCTTTGTCAAAAATCAATTGACTTTATAGGTCTGAGTCAATCTGGACTTTATTATTATCCATTGATTTATGTACCTAAATATATGCCAAGAAAATGCTGCCCTAACTTTTAAAGACTTTACCGTAAGCATTGATATCAGTTATACATGCTGCAGCTTGTCTTGTTTTAAATTTTTAAATGCTAGGTATTTTGCATGCTAATATGAATTTTAGACTCAACCAATTACTATTCGCTAAGAAAATTTGGATTCTGAAAGGAATTGCATTTAATCAATAGACTATTGGGGGATAATTTGCCATGTTAATAATATTGATCCTCTGAATCTATGAACATAGTATATCTCTCCATTAAACATAGCTCTTGTTTAACATTATAAGCTGTACCTATATTTTCAAATGGAAATATCACATATAATATTGGATAAAGTTATCCTTAAGTATTTTATTTATTTTCATAAATTTAGATTTTAGTACTCTCTTGCTGCTACTGTATATTGATTTTTTTGTAGTAATGCTAAATTTACTTAGTAATCTATTAGTTTTTTGTTGTTGTTTCAGATCACTTAAGAATTTCCTAGTAAACAATAATTCCATCTGTAGAAATAGACAGTTTTACTTTTTCCCTTCAAGTGTTTCTACCATTTATATTTCTCTTGCTTTTGAACCCTAGGAGGACTTCTACTGTAATGTTATATAAGAATGAGGAAAGAATACTCTATCTGGTCCCTGAAATGAAGATGAGAGGATTCAGTGCTTTGCTATTGTCTGGTTTGACTGCAGCTATTCCTTGTGCTCTTTATCCTTGCACAGGTTGATCTCAGAATCTTAAGCAAACAGGACACCCCAGGATTCTTAGTGTTACTGCACTTAGTAACCCAGTGCACCTCTATGTGTCACCATGCTCTATTTGCTGTTTTCTTGCTTGGGATTCTTATGTGTATATTGATCAAGGATATTGTTCTACAATTTTATTTTCTTACAATATTTTTTTAGGCCTTAATATCAGAGTTCTGCTAGCATCATGAAGTGACTTGGAAGTGAATATTGCCCTTTTCTCTACTTTTGAAACAGTGTTTAAGATTGGTGATACTTTTTACTTTAGTGTGAAATTCATCACTTAATTTACCTGGACTAGAATTTTCAGTGTGAAAAGGTATTTAATTAGCAACTCAATTCAGTGTATTTGTGTATATGTATGGTTGCAGATTTTTTATTTCTTCTTTTGTTAAGTTATGTTTTTTCAAAGAACTGGCCCATTATATCTATGTTATAAAAATGTCTCATGTGAAGCTTTTCATAATATCTCTCCCTTTATCATCTACTTGATACTGGTCTTCTGCAGCTAAGGTTTTAGAAACTTTGTTAGCCTTTTCAGATAACTTTTTCACTTTGTTAATTTTCCAGCTGCAGATTTTCTATTTCAATGAATTCTTCTCTAACTTTTATTGTTTTTATTATTCTATTTTCTTTGGGATTAATTTGCTCTTCGTTTTCTAGCATCTTAAGGTAGATCATTAACTTTAAAACTTTCTTCCTTTCTCATTATGCATTAAAATATATAAATTTCTTTCTAAACATTGTTTAAACTTCAGGCTCATATATTTTAATATGCTGTGCTTCTATTTTCATTCAATGCAAAATATTTTCTAATTTTCATTGTGATTTCATCTTTGACTTGTGTGTTATTTATAAGCGTGTACAGTAATTGTCAACTATTTGAATATTTTCTTATTATTTTCTAATTTAATTGTAGTGTCTTTTTCTGCTTTGCTGGCATAATAAAATGATTGGTAAAGACTTCCATCCTCCTCTATTACATTTTATTGGGGATAGAGAAATTCTCTATAATTTCGGTTCTACAAAATGTACTTATTTTATGCCGAAGGATATGATTTTTTTATCACAGTGAATTTTCCAGATGTGCAGAAAGAGTGTATTTGCAAATGTTGAATATAGTGTTTCATAAATGTAAGATCAGGTTTATTGACAGATTTTTTTTCTTCTGTATCTTTAATGACTTTGTGTCTTTTCCATCATACTTTCCTATTTTTTGTCAAGTTTTGCTTTATGTTAATTCGTACATATGATCCTATGTGTAAAAAGTCTCAAGGAATATCAAAAACCTAATTGAGGCATTAAAAATATTCAGTAAGGTCAGAAGATACAATTTCTGTGTACAATTGTATTTCTTCTTATAAGTAATGAATGTGCTGAAGATGAAATTCAAAAAACAATTCCATTCAAAAGAGCATAAAAAAGAATATAATACTTAAGGATACATATAATTAAAAAGTGCTATGTATCCAGATCTGTGCACTGAAAATTATAGAGCACTGCTGAGATGAAGATCTAAATCAATATGAAGACATTTTGTGTTCCTGGATCAGAAAAGTCTACACTGTCAAGACGGTGAGTCTCCCTTAAATTGTTTCCTTCGATTCACTGCTGTTATGTCTGGGATCTAAAAGTCCCCCAAAAGTCCCGTGTGTTCAGAGGCAGGACTTTTAGAAGGTGATTAAATGATAGGGAGCCATCCTGAGTGCTGGATTCATCCGCTGATGAGGTCCTTAGGAGGCGGGGTCTGGGCGGAGTAGGCAGATCTCAGGGGTGTGACCGGTAAGGGTGCATTCTCACCCCCGGGCTCGGGCTCTTCCTTCTCTCTCTGCTTTACATGAGGTGAGCAGCTCTCCTCTACCAGGCCCTTCAGCCATGCTGTTTCTGCTTTGGAGCAGCCAACCATAGACTGAATCCTCTAATACTGTCAGCCTGAATAAATCTTTTCTCCTCTAAGTTGCGCTCACCAGGTGTTTTGTCCCAATGACAGGAAAGTGACTGATACAAATAGCTCCAATCAAAAGGATGGTCATTAACAAGTACTGGGGATCAGGAAGGTGCTGGAACCTTGGCGTGGACCTGGAGGTTGGCATATGAATGAACTTTTTTGGAAATAATTCTGACAATTTCTTAAAAATTAAACATAAGCTTGCCATAAGCCAAGCAGTCCCACACCTCACAATTTACCCAAGAGAAATGAATGTATTTCTACGTAAAGAGTCACCCTCAAATATCCACTGTTGTTTTATTTGTAAAGCCACAGTTGGAAATTAGTGTCCATAATTAGTGTCCATGGATAAACAAAATGCTACCTGTAGAACACAGAAGACTACTGACAACAAAATGTCCCAGAGTGCAATGTTCTCTTTTAAGGCCTCACTGTGGGTCATGTGTGTATCTTGCATATTGTGAATACACATTGAAGTTTTTGCACTTGGATCACACATCTCTATGTACACCCACCTATGAGCACATAGATCTATTCTTCCTCAAAGTCTAATCTGCTGCATTTTTCACCTCACACACTGTAGTTTTCACATCTTACTGTTGTATGTGGGTCTCTTTCCTATTTCCTATGACTCTACCATTTTCTGCATATGGATAACAGTTATGAAATTGTTTTTATGTCATACTTGCCATCCACTAAGTAACATCACAGGAATGCATCTTATTAGAATTAGCAAATGGACCCAGAAAGGAAGACAGCGCTCCTGGCCTGGGACCAAGCCATGCCACACACCTTGCTGAAGCTCTCACAGGTTCCACAGAGCCACGGCTGATCTTCTCTGGGTGGAAGATGAAAGCCCTCACTGCAGCCACAGCCACAGCACTGCTGCTGAGGCTCTGGGACCAGCACTCAGCCATCCGACCACCTTTGTGTCCTTCACATATCCATTTACCTGAAAGTCACACTGGTGAGCACCTGCACTGTCCCCAGCCTTGCAAGGCACTGCAAATGGCCAAGGTCAGGGGAGGAGGCAGAGAGGAAGGGAACAGAAATGTGGGCATGGGGTCTAGGGTGATGTCTGGGGACAGGGAGGCCCCGCCATCCACGTGGGACTAGGCAGGTGGAGGATGCTCATGGAGGGGACAGCACAAGGATGCCCCCCCGGAAGCCTGTGGGCCCTGGCCTATCCCAAACTGTTCTCCCACTGTGATGAGAAGAGAAGAAAAATCAAGAGTAAGCATTTGGAAGTGTTTATAGAAAACTGACAGAGTAATTTTATGTCAAAATTAATAACAAAAAAGTAGAGTATATATTTTGTGCCTTTTGATTTCATTTTTTTGGAGTAATTTCTTTTTGCTGTAATTTTCACAATACTGTCTGTGATGGACAGCAAAATGCTGCTCCCCTGCTGTGGGTGACTCAAGGTCACCCAGCATTTCATCTGGTGGGAAGAAGAAGGCCAGGGGCAGGAGTCAGGCTGGGTCAGGTCACAGCACGGACAGAGTTCCTGGAGTCCAAGCTTGTTGGGAACAGGATAGACAACTTCGGAGTCTCCGGCATGGTGCACAGGATCCCATTTATCTTCCAGATGGCTCTGTAATTACACAGAAAAGGAACTGAGGGAGGAAACCAGGCTGGTTGTAGAGAAGTGATGCTGCGCTTAGGATCAGACAGGGACATTCTCAGAGAGTCCCCAGGTCACCCAGCAGTGGCAGAACGTAGGAGGAAAGGCTGAGCGGGGGAGTGACAAGGTCTACAGGGCTCCTGGGTACTTTCTCCTGCAGACTCAGCCCTGTGGGCCCAGAGTCCGGCCCTGGCATTTCTCCACTGGAGCAGCAAAGGCTGTGAGGGGCTGTGGATCTTTCTCCCGTGCTGACCAGATATGGACAAAGGAGCTCTCTTTTATCCCTTCCATTTGGGGCATGTTTGGTGTTTTTATTAATCCCTCAAAATCAGGGATTTGGTGGTGGTGTCCAGACAGACAGCCAGGGCCCCTGCCAGTCACACAGTGGAGGAAATGGTGATTGTGCAGGAAGCATTGGCAGTGCAGGTTGCAGAAAAGCACAGTGCCTGGGCACTGGGGAGATTAAGCAATGTGCTGCAGCATTCTGCCAGCTACAATTTCAATTTTTAGATAAATACTTTCTTCTGTGACCATTGAGATTTAAAGGGAAATAAATAAATATATAAGCAGTCCTGCCAGCCTTGTCATTTGCTTTACCTCAGGGGTGCCTGGGAGGGAAGCCAACAACAGAGCCAGTCTCAACCCCAGCACTCAGAACAGATCCTGGCTGCTCCGTCCCCTGGGTCAGACACCGAAAGCTGGGCTGCTTCTCAGAACACACTTCCAGCCACTGCCCAGAGAGCAGGTTGGCTACCAGCCAGGGCAGCACACACCAGACCCTGCGCCTGACCCCTGGCAAGGGCGTTATGACCTCTGCTTGGCTGGGTCCAAAGACACTCCTGATGGGTCATGTGAGAGCTGGGCTCTGTGACATTAATAGGAGTTTTCCAGGTGCGCACAGCTGGAAAGGAAGCACATCTCAAAGAACAGCATGGAGGAAGATACAGAGAGATAAGAGCTCGATCTTTGGGCCTCTGGGGCTGCGTGATGTTGTGGAACATGGAGAGAGAGGGCAAGAGGGGACCCCACCCATAGACATCACCAGAGAGCTGAGGTGAACTTCCCTGTGTTCTGCTTGCTACTTGGAAGTCAGAGCCGGGGAATCATGGGGTCTTGGAGGCCCCCAGATTGATCTAAATGGAAGTTCCTGGGAGACAGCCCTGAGGCAAAGCAGAACCCAGAAGACAAAGAACCCAAGAGAAAAGTGGGAAAAAAGGGAAACAGATGCCTAGAAATGCTAACGAGATCAGAAGGCCCGGCCAACACTTGCTTGTCCTCTAGACAGAAAAATACATAAGTAAACAAATGTATTCGTAAGGTGATCAGTGTGCTAAACACCAGGGACCATCAGGATCAGTGTGAGAGGACGTTAACTGCTCACAGGCCCTGGTGCTGGGAACGTCCCCGAAACATCACCTGTAGGGAGCCTGGGACATTGTCTGGCCAGGCTGCAGGCACACAGCTCATCCCGTGTAACCCACTGTTGAGCATAAACCCAGGGAACTTCAGGGGAGTGGTCACCAAGACCCTGCAGGGACTTCACAGGAAGCTGGCCTGTGACGCCAGAGACCACAACAAGGAACCAGTGTTGGACAATGGAAGATAGCTACAGCACATCCACACAGCGACCTGGCCAGCCACGCCGAAAGGTAGCCAAGTACTAGTGCATCCAAAACCACGCTGGCCCTGCAAGTTTCTGGCTTTGGTGAGGCAAGAAGACAGATGCAGTCACACCTGCGTGAGACTCATGTGTGACTTCCTGTGTGCAGACCCCACAGACAGGACTGAACAACCTGGATAAAAACATAAAGGAAGCAAGGAAATGAGTCTCACCCAGGTCCAGGGCTGCTGACTTAAAGGGGGAGCAAGGGTCTTGACTGCAGGGGGACCTGTGGGGACAGAGCCTGCTGGAAATATTCTGCCTGGTGCCCGTGCACTGGGAACAAGGCAGGTGCCACTCCTCATTTATCAGCAGATTCTGCACCCTTTACCATGTGTCTTTGTCCCAGATCAAAGAAAAACAAGAGGGAAACAAAAAGGGAGGGACAGAGGGAAGGAACTGACCAAGGGACCCATGTCACACACAGCTGGGGAGAAGGCAGGTGGCCTCTTCTATGAGGAGTGACAGTCCTAGGCACACCAAGAGCAAAATCTCCACTCCAGGGTTAAATCTAGGATGCAGAGTCATTGATTTATAATGAGAAACAGAAATGTATGTGGAAACTTGCCTAATGAATGAGGTCGTTCGAAAGCTAAATTCATTAGGCGGGCTTGGCGGTGCACTCTGTAATCCCTGCACTCTAGGAGGCTGAGTCAAGTGGGTCTCAAGCTTCAGACCTAAGAAACTAAGAAATTTAGCGGTTTAGTGAGACCCTGTCTCAAAACGAAAACAAATTTTAAAAGAACTGGGAATATAGCTCAGTGTGAAAACCCAGTGTTCAATCCCCTGTACCACAGGAATGAATAAATGAATGAATGAATGAAGAATAGATGTGTGGCTAGTTTGTTTCAGTAAGAGATCTTTGCCAATACAAAGTAAGACTTTTCATCATTGGACAAAGTTGGTTGAAGGTGAAAAGCATCTTTGTGCCTAGGAGCCAGGCTGCTGGCTGGTGGAAGAGAATACAGGTCAGAAGGAGTGCTGATGAATATGTATGCCCGTTATCACTTTCCAGTGCATGACTTAGCAACTGACACAGAGATGAGTGGGAGTATACAAAAAAATTCAGGGGTGCCTCGGTTCACAAACTTAATTCTCTCCACAATTCTGGTTGCAAACTGAATTGAACACAAACCAAATCAAATTTCTTCATAAGGTCAACATTGAATCTAACCATTGAATTTGATTTGGTTTGAGACCAATTTGGTTTGTGACCAGAATCGTGGAAAGAGTTAAGTTTGTGAACCCAGGAGTTGCCACTGTTTCTGGCCCACAATCTTAAAAAGGCCTCGTGGAAATGGGTAGATCAGTGAGACAAAAAACTAAAATGTCAAAAACAAAAGAACATAAATATATATACAATTTGAATGACAAGCTTAATAAAACCCCCTGGAGCCACATGCATGTGTACAGGGAGCACTCACCAGTGGTGGAGATCAGGAGCCGCCAACATTTCAGGACTGTGCGTTCCCAAGCATCTGGAAATAAAATCAGAAACCAATGAGAATAAATGATTAAGGGGAAATCTGACACCATGTGTCCAAAAACTGAACAAATAATTCTGCAAGAAAGACTGTAAATAGAGAGCAAAGCAGAAAATAATTACAAAATAATAGCACAATTGTAATAGCTGCAGAAGTTTAAATATGTTTACCAGAAAGAAAGAAAAATTGAAAGAAAATGATCCAAACATTCAATTCAAGCAGAAAACAAAAGTAGATGCAGAAACAACCCAAAGAAATAATTGAAAGTGAAAATAAAATAAATATTACAGAAATCAATGACACAGAAGATTGGCAAAATAAAAACTGCTTCTTCAAAAGATTAGTGAAAGGGGCTCTAGAAAATGTAACTGCTAAAAGGAAAGGAAGATGCAAATTTAGAAAACAGAATCTGAAAGAGAAAATAACTACACAAACAACAGAATTTTGTGAAATACAAAGATTTGAAAGACAAAATGGATACATTTCTGGAAAAGTATAGTAATCCAAAAAAGAAGAAATAGAAAATTTCAACTTAAAATTTGTAATGATAATTTAAACTTCCTCAAAGAGAAAAATAAAAACCAAAAACCAAGCCTAAAAATCTCCACAGGAAACTTACTCCAAACTTTCAAAAATCCTGTCTTGAACCTGATATTCCAGGAGGAGAAAGAAGAGAGAGAGGGAGGGAGCCGAGGACAATTTCATTAATTTTAAATGTCTACAATTCCCTTGGCTCCAAAGCAGGTCAAAAACTCTTCCAAAAGAATCAGATCTTTTCACTTATGAATAGTCTCACATGTATATTCTCTAACTGACTTTAACATTGTTTTAAAATAATATATCATTATCAATCAAGTTTATCAAATTAATGACAATTTAAATCAAAAACCTATAAATAGATTCACTCCTTTAAACTCCTACACTAACCTCAAGAAAGAGATATTGACTTGATGAGCTCTGGCCAAAAAGAAAGCAGTTGACAATATCTAACATATTTCAAATAAAATTATGCATGTCCAGAAAACTGGAAATCAAGGAGCGCTTTCTTTACCTGAAAAATAACTATGCTCCAGTGGAATCCAGTGGTCGTCTCCGGGGTCCCATAGTCCTGGTTAACCAACCCCATAGTTAAGCAACACCACAGTGACTCATCTCTTTAGAACAGACTCCAACCCTAACCACACATCCAGCCAGGAGCTCATCAATGGACTAATGCCCTGACAGGAACAGCATCCCAGATCCGGTCGCCTTCCAAAGCCCCGCCTCTCAACATGGGACCTGTGGGAGATTTTTTTAGAGCTAAATCATAGTGCACACAATGGTGCTTTATCACACCAGCAATTTCTAACTAAGATATATAATAATAAAACAATACAATGTTCATAGTCACAAGAAAAACTATGGTGTATCCAAAGACATCTAATTTTTTCGGGAATGAATTTTGAAGACCTCAGTGATGCTATTCTAACATTCATATGAAAGTAAATGTTTGTGAAAAAGTAAACAATTTCAGAAAAGGGGAGAAGAATGCAGGAGGAACTGTCATAAAATAAGGAAAAATTTTACAACATACTAGTTTTTGAAAAGAAAGTATTGTTTTGGAACAGAAATATAAAATACATAAGTGGAAGAAGACAGAGAGCTCAACGCCAGACTCATGTGTGCTTGGGGACCAGTTTTGTGTGAGAGGTGACCCACTCTGCAGTGAGATTGTTTTAATAGCTGTTATTGAGTACAGCTGCTTCACCCCATGGGCAGAGCTCAACTTAGAGCTCTCTCTCACAGCCTAAAGAAAATGGTCTAGACAGAGATCAGCTAAGAACCTCAGTGCAAAAGGCATGACAATAAACCTAATAGGGTAAATTGTTGGAGAAACGTTTATCTTGAACCAGTTGTGCACTTCTTAAATGCTTTCTAAAAGTGCAGAGTCTGTGGTGAACAACAAATGGATTTCATCCTAACACCACTCCTGATTTGGGATCAGGGAAAGGTGGGATCAATAGACAGTCCAGGCACAGATTGGATGAAACCAATCGGCTTCTTAAAAAAATAATAAAATTGACATGTGGAACATTGAGGTGTTATTAAAAGTTTAAAAGATAAAGAGCACAGATTTTAAAAACTGGTTTAGGTATATTAAAAAGTCTTTCTAGAAAGGAAATGTAAAAGCTAGCATGTGATAAAGAAAGACACAATTTCCTTAGGAATCACATAGATGCGGATTAAAACTATGACATGATTACTCTTTACACTTATCCATTTGACTCACCAAACTTCTAAAGGGTAGAGACATTGGGGGAGATGTAGCCAAATGAAAACCTAGTATACTGCTGATAGGAATGCAGTCTACCACACCAGTCAGGCAAATCGGCTGTACAGAATGAAATTAAGATCCAGCAGTCCCTAGGGACTGGGGATTTAGCTCAGTGGTTCCAGCACCTGCCTCAAAAGTGCAAGGTCCAGAGTTTGATCCCAGGTACAAAAAAAAAAAACAAAAAAAATGTCCAGCAGTCCCAATCCTGGGTAAAAATCCAGGAGCATTCGTGTTATGGTTTAGATTTTAAAAGTACCTCAAAACTCTCATGTGTTCCTAGTTTTTTTGAAGATGATTGGATCACAAAGATACACTTATCAGTGGATTCATCCATTGAAGATTTTGTAGCTGAATGTTTTATTAGGAGGTAGTAACTGGGGCTGTGACCCTGAAGGATGCGTTTTTATGACTGGCTCCTCCTTTTCCTCTCTCTGCTTTCTGGTGAGCAGCTTTCCTCTGCCACTCCCTTCCACCATCCCATTTCTTCTTTGGAGCCACACAACTATGAACTGAACCCTCTGAAACTGTAAGCAAAATCAATCTCTCCTCCTTTAAATTGTAAGTGTTGAAGATTTTGTCTCACTGATGGGAAAGCAGATTAATATAATCTGAAGGTCCCAAGTGTGAGGGAATCACCATGTTTGTGCTGGGACAGCCCCTGAGGTAAGCCAGGTGTCTGAGACAAGGTTAGAGGAGGAAAGATTTGGTTGCCACCTGCCACCATGCAAAGGCTGTGGGCTCGTACAGAGATACAAAGGCTGTGGGCTCATACAGAGATGCTGGTGCTTTTCTAAAAACATTGATGAAAAAATAAGACACAAATGAGGTCTATGACACAATTACATGTATGGAAATTTAAGAGAATACATGACCCTTGCAAATCAGATTTTTTGAAGTTACATAAATATTTGACACATACAAGTGTGTTAGAAAGAATAGCTCTGTCAGATGGAAGGATGGGAGTGAGTTAGGAGCCAAGATGAAGGGAAAACCAAATAAAACAGAAGCGATCATGTAAGGAACAATGATGCTGACAGGCCAAGGAGGTTCTTCATGCTAACAGGAATGAGGGGCCACTTCTTACAAATCTGTCAATCGAAGGTGCTGCAATAATACTAATATCAACCATGGTGTGCGAGCCAATGCACAGACTCTGGAAAGCTGACTAATAATAATAGTAATACTCACTACTACTACTACTAATAATAATAATAACACTCAGTAATACTTAACTGTGGTGTGCAAGCCAAAGCACAAACTTGGGAAAGCTCAATAATAATACTAATATTCAATAATACTCAAAAATACAATAATAATAATATTCAATAATAATAATACTCAGTAATATTCAACCATGGTGTGCAAGTCAGAGCGTAGACTCTGGAAAGCTCAATAGTAATAATACTAATACTCAATACTACTACTACTACTAATAATAATAATAATACTCACCCATGGTGTGCAAGCCAATGCACAGACTCTGGAAAGCTCTAAGTTAAAAACTCACTCGCCACATGGTAAACGCTGGACCCTGGGAGAGCTGCTCACCTGTCTGAGCCTCAGTTTTTTCAAGAATGTAATGCAAATGAGAAATTTCTCCACATCTTTTGAATCAAGTCTACATAAAAATCCAAATTCAAGAAAAGACAACACTGGTTGCTCTAGGGTCATGGCAATAAGTCACTGCCAAGGCTGATTTTAAGCTTGTTCTTCTGGTCTGTTGAGGATGGATTCCCACCAGTAGCCATATTTCCAAGTGACAGCCACCCTTGGCAGCCTCCTTCCCTATCCAGCACCCATGGCCAATGTCATGTAGGCCCTGAGTTCTCCTCTTTCAAACCCTAGCCAGTCTGTGCCCTCCATGCTTCCCCAAGCCCTGTCCGGGATGAGCGGTGTACTTGGGTCAGGTTGACAATGTCCCAGGAGCACAGATCTCCCTTACCTAGCAAGAAACACAGTCAGCTTTTTTGGCTTCAGCATTTTGAGTGGTACTTTCTTGCTTGTACAAGGATGATTAAGCTCATAGTCTGGAGACAATGTGAGGATTAAATGACACCACTCATTAAGAGCTACACAGGAGGAGGCACACCCGGGGGTGCCAGCGCTGCAGGAGGGGTGGGCAGGTCTGCAGCCCCATCTGCAGCCCACAGACAGGAAGAGAGAAGCAGAGAAAAGAATTGATGATTCAGTGAGCTGTGGGGGCTTCCGGTGCCAGACCAAGTCAGGTCAGGTCTGTGCACAGTCACGGATGTGGTCAAAGTCCTAGCTCAAAACAAGTTTTCCGATGTGTTAAACCCAGTGTAATCAGTGACAGATCAATAAGGAATGTGTCTCTAAAACCATACAGGTAGGAATAGGAATAATGATAATCATTTGATTCTCATGATGACATATCCAAAAGAATGTGAAAAGTGAAAATAGGAGACAAAGAATAAGTGGAATAAATAGAAAATAAGTGGTAACATGTAGCTAAGTTTTAAAACACACCAGCAAAAAACAAAACACAAAACAAAACAAAACAAAAGGCCTGGGATTTAGCTCAGTGGTTCTGGTGCCTGCCTTGCAAGTGCAAGTTCCCGAGTTCCATCCCTGGTACCAAAAAAAAAAAAAAAAAAAACACCAGCAATTATATTAAATGTAATGGGACTGTGTCCTCAAAGTAAGTGGCAAAATTATCAGG